GTCCAGCTTCTAATACCAGTGCTGAAAGGCGCAGGATTACAATCACAGAAACTTCGACAAAATAAGCACCATTCATCTAGATGACTTGCGCTCACATTGTCGGGGGAACAAGGACAGCGTAGTGGTGAGAGTGCTTGCCTCCCACCAATGTGGCCCAGGTTCGATTCTGGCGTAGTGCAATGAGAAGGTTGTTGGTTTTCGCCTTGCTCTGGGGGTTCTTTCTCCGGATTTTTCAATTCCAATTCGACCAGGATAGAGGAACAGCTCAGGCTGATGTGAATTCCTCTCTAAATATTGTTATTTACTAAAACAGTTCTTTTAAGAACTACTCCTACCCAAAGGATCACTCTAGACGAACTCCTAATGCTCCTGGGTTCAAACCATTTACTATCGTGCAATCACAGTAAGTTGTAATTTTCTGTATACTCACTGGGTATAGTTGAAGAGTCGACTGTCCCAGAGAGAATGAAATCCACGTCCACTACCATGGAAATAACAGCTCTGGGACCCATCAAATTCATTCAAACCATCCATAACATTTTTGGCAGCATGACTGTGTACAACATCCAGTAAAACTAGAATTCCATTGCCATGAGCCACGTCTATCAGTTCTTTCAGCTCGTCAGGTGTACCATAGCGACTAAAATACAACAAGAAACATTTCGCGAAATTATAGCTGTATAACATTACTCGGTTTAGATGTCTAAGGTAGGGCTTCTATAGATGGCTACACAGCTTCAGGACAAAGAGATACAAAGAAATCGGCACACCTCTTCATTTTGTCATTTTTGAGTGCAACATAATTCTTTCATTTCCGCGGATACAGAGACCTCATGTGTGCAGATCTAAGCATACTTGCAAGCATGCAAACTATTTATACATATGGGTTATTGACCAAGCGCGAGGCCAGGATGGCTGGATATTGACCACGTTCTTTTTTGTGCGTTTATGGACCAAGACGGAGTCGAGGTCCATAAACTCGAAAAAAAAAAAAAAAAAAAAAAAAAAAAGAACGAGACCAATATCCGTCAGGCCATCTCAACCAAACAAGCCTTCGGGGAAATTTTTCTTCCGGGACACAGCTGGTAGTCCCGAGCGGGAAAGATGCCAGCTTGCCTGCTCGGGTAGCCAATCACAGTGCAGAATTTGGTTCATCTTGCCCACTCACGGAGTTAACCATATAATAAACACAGTTGATTTGTGCACGACTGTAATCTCCCAATTACGGCTAAGTAAACTCCCTTTTTTGTTCAAACATAGTACAGCTAAAAAAGGTTGCAAAAACATCTTACAAAGCCCTAAGCTAGTGTTTAAGACCATGGACAAAAAGAACAAAGTTTAACCTTTTTGGTGGAATTTTGAAAAGGATTAATAAATTCCTCACCTGGAGGCAGCAAAGAAGTTTGTAACCTGGTAACCAAAGCAGGCATAATAAGCATGTTCCATGACAGCCATTAGCTGGATACAGTTGTACCCTAGCTTCTTTATCCTCGGAATAACATTGTAAGCAAAGTTCTTGTAGCTAGCAACGCCAGGTTGCTCAGAGGCTATGCCAACATGAGACTCGTAAATTCGCAAGCCAGAGGTTTTCTTGGGTCGGCTGTGCTGCCATTGGTAGGGCTGTGGTGGATCCCAGTGGACTCCTTCATACAGAATACTGTCTTCTGGGCAGACAGCATAACGAATCCAAGGAGAAATACGATCCACTAAATCACCATTTTCAAGCTGGATTGAAACCTATAGAGACATTTAAGAAACAATTGACATAAATGGATCCTCAATAAATACACTGTTTTAACACAGACCTGTTTTCAACCAACCTCTTTCCAACTGGCCAGAAATAAAGTTTATTTTCCCTCTCTAGTTATGGTACCAGTGTTTCTTTATCAGGTGAATTTGTAAATGTGAGATTTAGTAGTGATATCACTGTCTTTGACTGGGAGTTATTTTCTTCAAGCAAGCATGCAAGAAGGAGCACAGAGTGCGAGAGCGTCTGCACAGCGGGCAAAAAGTATTAACATTTGTCTTGTCCCAGTCCCAACCCATCTTGGAACAGGCCAAAGAACTTTCAGAACCTAGTGAAATGATGACTTCTGTATACAAAGCCATATGCTGATGAGACAAAATGTAGACATTGACATCAGCAAGTATCCCCTTTTACTTTGGCTGAGGAGTGTTTTATAGGGAGGGGGGCTTATCAGAATGATGGCACGAAATTGATACATTGTAGGATACAAGAAAGATTCTTACTCTTGCACATCCTTATGCAAATCACTGGTGAAAATTATTTGTCAACACTCACCTTAACTTTTGATCCATGGGGGATTGGTGATGAGCCATCCTCCTTATAAGGTATGGTCAGTTCCCAGACTCCAAACTCATTCCTAGTACATGGGTGAGAAGTCCTGGACCAGCCATCTACAGACAAAACATGACACAGCAAATGATATTGCCACTAGATACATTGTGTGCAATGTAGCTGACTCTGTGATAGGAAGATTAAACCAGTTGCAACAGAGTTTTGACTGTTGTTTAACTTGGATACATTCACTTTTGGGAGGCCTGCAAAAAACCAGCTTCAGGGTAAAGTTTTTTTTTTTTGGACTTGGCAACTCAGTCTGGCAAATCAAATCAGGTAAAGGAAATACAGAAAATGGTGGAAAACTGTAACTATAAATTATATAACTAAGAAACACGTAAGTTTAAAATGGGTGTGTAGTAGCCAGTTTAGCAGCACTTTTGAGTGGGATGCTGCTTACTAACAGACAAAGAAAAGAAGAAGAAGAAAAAGTAAAGATAATTATCATTGAACCAATACATACATGTAGGGAAAAGAGGAGAACTCTAAAAGAGCTACAAACAAATACAAGCCAGTTACTATTAGTCGTACAACTATTATACATTATTAAGAACTGGAACATTGGATAACGCAATTCAAGAGATTTCATTGGCTTACCGATCATGGCATACAAGCCACTATACCATGCTCTACAAATATGGTAAGCTTACGCAAAATTTTTTGGGCACTTTTACATGATTTTAATTTTAAATATTTTGGGACATTTTTTAATAAAATAATTATTCCACTTGTGATTGTTGGATATGAGATGATTATATCCAACAGGACACTACGGGCCTCGTTGGCTATCTACCATCTCACATCCAACACTTGCTCATGAAACAACTGCTAATTACATACAAATGAACAAGCAAAGATAAAGCCTACTCTGTGGCAAACTTCGCATCATGCAACCACTGAGTGTTTTTCTTTCTTTTTTTTTTCCAATCAAAGGCTATTAATCAATTAAATCACTGCCACAAATGTTGTAATTCAGAAGACTAGTGTTTAAAATGTTGAGTAGAACAGATATTTCAGAGATAATGCTTTCTTCAGTGAGACCCAGTTTTGGACAGGAAGCATAGCACACTCTTGAGCATTGAAGACAATAGAAACTTCACTATCAATTGTGAACGGCAATAATTACAGACATACGGAAACCATAATGGTCAAAACTGGGTCTTTAAAGTGACAATACTCGTGTATCCATCAATGAATTCCCTGTGCTAGTACAAGCTGTTCATGCCACTTACTAAAGTCTCCTATAAGATACACTCCACAAGCAGCTGGTGCCCATTCACGGTATACCACACCCTCGTGGGTTCTGTTGATTCCAAACCTCTCATAACCTCTGGAAAACTTCTCCAAGCCACCTTCGTTTTTCTCTATCTCGTTCTTAAGACCTGAAAAGCACTTGTACCTGTAGTGGAAAAAAATAAGCATGATCGTGAAAGAGGTCTCAGAGCTACAGAGTATATTGTTTGGGAATAGCTAGTCAGTCCCTTATGATTCTTTGGTCAAAAAGGTCAAAATGACATCCTTCTATTATCAAGAACAGAGCCAAAGCCAGAAAAACTTTACTACTGAGGTGAAGTCCATGGTTATATTCTCTTCCTAGGTATTTAGAAGTCTTTTACTTCCCCTCTTTAACAACAAAAAACAACAACAATGAAAACATTGACTGATACAAGTGCCTTGGTTTGCCTAATACTGGCCATAGTCCATCAGCTATTTCTTTATTTCTTTTAATTTCTGATATAACAGGACAGAAGTTTACCTTTCAAGTCAGTAGCTTGGCTCCCCATGTGATCAATGAACGTTAATCATTCAACTTATTCATTCATGCAATTTCTGTTGCCATGTTTTCTAAAATAGCATAGCTCTCTATTACTGAACTACCGTACCTAACAGACACACACAACCCATAATCGCTCAATTTACTTTGACAAAGGGCTAACACTCAAGACGTCAGCTTCCCTGACTCACTGTGGTGGAGACTTAAGTTTATAAAAAGCTTATTTTAAAGTTTGTTTTCCTGACATGACCCAGTCTGATGGTGATTGCAGTTGACTGTTTTGTTGAGTTACTCACTCTGATTTTGATAACTATCCAGTCTGATGGTGATTTGCAATTTAATTTACTGTTAACTTATGAATTCAGTCCAATTTTGATATATATTTTCTCTTGATATTTGAGTGTATAGCAGTAGTCCAATGTCCAATGTTGTCAGCCGAGTTGAATGTTGCAAAGTTCAACATTGGTACGATATTTGCAGATGGATGTTGAGTTGCAAAGTCTACTGAACATTCACCACTGTTAAGCAGGATTATGACATACAATTGGGTGACTAAACTACACAGTGACAGTATTTTAATATACTTTGTACTTGTAGATCAAATGAAAGACTTACCTTCTTTCTATCTCAGTTTGATATGGTTTAATATAAGGATCATCATGAAGAAATCTAGAAAAATGTGGAACTACTTGATCGTCAGCCATCTGATATGAAATCAAAAGAAAGTCTGTTACTCAGGTGCAATCCCTACTTTGAGATAGACCATATNAAATCCCATTCTCTTCAAGACTGGAGAAGACTAAGATTAAGACCAGCAGGTTAGACCTGATGTTTTCATAGTTGCACTAATTGAGGTTAAAAAGTGCTCTGACACTCTGGTGCATACCACAAGCTATATTTAAGTGCAAAACACACAAGTACAGCAGCTGAAATTTTACCTTTTGGGCACCAAAAATGTGTAAATTATGTCTCTGTGCCTTTGTTCGCTTCATTCTCCATAAACCTCACAATTGACAGAGATCTGTGTAGACAGAGAAAATCTGGACTTGTATGATGACATGTAATTTTCTGCACTCTAAGAGAATTCTACAGCTACATGTACATTAAAGCAAATCATTAATAGATCCTCCTTCCACTCCTGAGTTTGGTCAAGGAAACTAAAAAAGGTGCATATCTATACCAATTACAACATCAAGTGAGTAAACACAAATTTCTTGAGGTGTTGTACAAATAGGTTTTTTT